TTTTTTCCAGATCCCCTTTTGTTGACAGTTCAGTGGGTCCTGGTGGTTGAGTATCCAAGTGTTCCATCTCATTTCCCTTTGGGTTTGCTGTAGGTGATCTGGAAGTCTGGTTTTGAGACTTATTTACGTGTTTTCTCATTTTGACTGAGGGGGCGGGGGGGGTGCTGTTGGCACCCACAGGGATCACCTCATCTGAGCTGGGAGAGGTGGGAAAGGGGCCAGGAGTGGTGGTAGGGATGGTGGCCCAAAAGCCCTTTCCTCTGGGCTGGGGGCAGCGGGAGGGATGGTGGCAAGGAAGCCCCTTCCTCTGGACCAGGAGCAGTGGGACGGTGGCTCAGAAGCCCCTACCTCTGGGCCGGGAGAGGCAGGACCCAGTACCGTGGTCTGGTGGTCCAGTGTCCTCTACGTCTTTGTAGTGTGGAACCAGGTGGCTGTACACAGAAGAGTCCAAAGGAGTGGGGGGGGCAGTGGATTGCTGCTGGGGTGTGGCCTGATTCAGTGTGTTCCGCACAACTTGTGACCTCGGTAGGGCCCATCTAAGCCCATTCTTCCCCAGAGGACCTCTGCCTTTGGGACCCTGCCTATGTTACCCTTCACCCCAAGTGCTTAGAGTTTTTCTCATTCACTCCAGGACCACCCATCCCTGGTCACACGAGTGGGCTCACAGGATGGGTCAGCCTTTGAAGCCTTCCTGGGCCCCCCTTTGTGGTCACCTCCCTAAATAGCTCAGGGCAGGTGCTCTGCTCTAGAACAGACAACAGGCCCTACCACTCACCTGAGAACTCAAACATCCCCAAGACCTCCCACAAAGCCCAGCTGGGACTTTTCATCCTTAAACTTTCCACCACTGATTCTGCTTCCCCCAAATAACCCTGATGCTGCTGCCCTGATGCAGCAGATTTTCATCCCTGGCACTCCACTGCCTTCCTCTTTGGGAGTGCATGAAGATGGACACAAGCCAGCCCCGGCTGTAATCCCAGCACTCTGGGAGCTGAGGCAGGAGGATTCCAAGTTGCAGCCCAGACTTCGAAATTTAGTGACTTAGATTCTGTCTCAAAAATAAAAAAAATTTGGGCTGGGGATTTAGCTCAGTGGTTCCACCTCCTGCCTCACAAATGCAAGGTACAGAGTTCAATCCCCAGTACCAAATTAATAATAATAATAATAATATAAATTTAAAAGGAGCTGAGGATATAGCTCAGTGCGAAGGCCTTGGATTCAATCCACAATATAGAAAAAAATTAAAAACATGTAAACAGGGAGGTGTCCAAGACCCCTGGATGTTCTGTGTTTCACCAGTCATCCTTTCTGGATTTCAGGCCAAGAGCGCACAGGAAGCTGCAGGGGAGAACGCCCCGGAGCAGTCCGCGCCCCAGGAGCCGCAGGAGCCCTCTGGCCCTCCAGTCCCAAGCTCTGCCCCGCTGGCCTCTGCTGAGAAGCCTGAGGACGGCGGGGAGGAGGCGGCTGGCACAGAGGAGCCCTCGGTGCGGATTCGCATGAGCCCGGGCCCGGAGTCTGGCGAGCAGACGCTGGCGGTGGAGAGGCCAGAGGAGAAGGAGGCAGCGGGGGAGTGAGGCGGGGGGGGGGGGGAGTTCCGCCCTTCCCACCTAGCCCGACTCTGCCCAGAGCGCCTCCTGGTGGGCTTGGTGTTGAAATTCACACCTGCCATCCAAAGTCCGGGTCCCCAGGCTCCCAGCCTCCATGGAGGACCCCAGCTCCCCAGGACTGTTGCTATTCTTAAAAACAAAATCACTTCCCACTTTTAAAGTTCATAGGCAGAGGGACAGACTGGGAGCTCTGTTGCAGAAGCCATGGGCCAGGGTCTGGGAGGGGGGCGCCCCGCAGGAGTTGGCTCCCTGTTGCAAGAACAGGAAATGGTTCTTCCGAAGACAGCTGTGCTGCCTGCCAGTGGCAGGTCTGCCTGAGTGTGGGACTTCGTCGTCCTTGGCTGGCAGTCCCACTGTGAGGGACACGAGGCTCCTAGAGTAGTTGGCGCTTAGCTTTCCCACACTCCTGTGGGCTCAGCCCTGCACCATCCTCTCAGGACAGTTAGGACAGAAATGGGTTTACTAGCAAGGGGCCCTGTAGAAGTGTCTCTGGCTTGTCACGTTGAAAAGCCCCCTGTTTTGCCAGCAGGGATCAGGCTGTCGCTTGCTTTTGACATCCTTGCTAGAGAGATGGTGGTAACAACTTCAATTAATCCTGGAAAATGGAATCTCACAGATGTGACACCACTTACACTCCCTAAAGTCTCTCCAGACCACATTTTTATGATTAAAAGAGGGCGAGCGGGAGAAAGTCACATCCAGGCCATGAATATATATATTGAGAGGGTTTTATTTGCATACCAAATGGCTCTTAGGGGAGGGAATGATCAAAGATGAAAACTAGCATTGAGACATTTGTTTCCACCGGCAGCGAGGAACTCAAAGGGCCCGGAGTTCCAGGAGGACCTGGAGTGTGTCGAGCTGCTTAAGTGACATTTGAGGGCTTGCAGCTCAATTTAAGTCAACATTCATTTCCAGGGCAAAAAAAATTAAATAATTTGGGAGTTCCCATGTTGATCGAAGCAATTCCAAATCCCAGAGTGATGAACAGATCACGTGGTCTGGGAACTTGAATTTAATGATGATTCACATTATTATTTTACTCCTTTAAAAGTTTTTGTTAATTTAGTATAACAAGTGATACCATATTTACATGGGTACAGAAGGATACTCATTAAAAACTCTCCACCCTGCCCATCCTCCATGACCAACTTCCCTGGGCCCCTCCCTGGCAGCAAGCAGGGCCAGCAGCTTCTTCTGTATCCTTTCAGAGAGATTTTATGCTTACACAAGGAAATACTTATTTTCCTTATTTCCTTCCTTATTTATTAATTTATTTGAGACTGGATCTCACTGTGTGGCCCAAGGCTAGCCTTGAACTCCTGGGTTCCACTGATCCTCCTGCCTCACAGCCTCCCTAGCAGCTGGGACTCCAGGTATGCCTGGCCTTTGTTTGTTTATTTTTTAACAGAAACTGTAACACAACTAGAGCCACTGTTATTTTCCACCTAGTTTATTTTGGTGATTACTGTATTCCCTGTTAGTACCTAAAGAGTATGTTTCTTTGTTCATGATTGTAATCCAGCCTACTACATCATGACATTTAAACCACTCTCCCACTGATGGCCATTTTTCTGTTTCCAATCTTGTGCTATTAAAAATAATGCTGCAAGCTGGATGTAATGGTGGAGGCCTGATATCCCAGCATTCGGGAGACTGAGGCAGGGGGATCGCTGTGAGTTTGAGGCCAGCCTATGCTACATAGTGAGTTCAAGGCCAGCCTGAATTGAACTACGTAGCAAGACTCTGTCTCCAAACAAACAAACAAACAAACCCCCCCAAATAAACAAAAATAATGATCCAATCAAAAAATCTTGCACAGGAGGTAAAAGCTCAGTAGTATAGCACTTGTCTAGCATGTGCAAGGCCCTAGGTTTTATCCTAGCCTTGTCTTCTTGTTTCCTATTATACAAACTATTTTTAAACTGGGAAGTCTGGGAGTTTGTTTAGGCAGGCTTTCCCCGCCTCGCCATCCCATTTAGCATTCCCATATTTGCACCATATTTTCTAAGACCCAGGCCTAGAGAGTGCTCCCACCTGTAGCTAGTATTTCTGATACTTCTGTAAAGTAAACATATTGCCCTCTGTAGTTGGCAAAATGTTTCCATGCACTCTCACTGTGAGATCCTATTTTATAAGGAATCTTTTTTTATATGAATGCACTTATTCTTTTAGAAATCAGTCTCTGAATGTATCCTGCTTATTATATAAAGTGAGAGATTCTTGTGGTTTCCAAGAATTGTCCTGGAAAATTGATTTTGACATGAGATTAGCCATGTCTTAATTTCACTGAGCTATCTCATTAAATTCAGCACTTTTGCAAAGCTGATATAGTAGATAAATTGAATTGGAGATGGACGTTATTCTCCAGATTGAATGGGTCGCTGAGGAATGGCACAGCTGAGAAATACTATAATTCTGCGGTGAAACAGGACCTGTACTTATGTGGGTTGAATCTCTCCTCACTTAAAATGTCTCAACATGTCCAATATTTTGGTAGAAAATGAATAGCAGGTTATTTTTTTACCTACATAAATATTTTAAATAAAATTAAAACCAAGAAGCTGTTTAAAAATTCATTATCAAAATGTGTTCAGCTACTGGGAATATTTTAATCTGTTTTCTTAGTATACATGAATACTTTATGTACACTTGGGCTTCCATATTACAATGCATTTTAATTAAAGTATTTAGACAAATGTTCCTGGCTCATGTATTCACTTTTTTTTTTTTGGTACTGGGGATTGAACTCCGATCCTTGCGCTTGTGAGGCAGGGGGTGGAACCACTGAGCTAAATCCCCAGCTTATTGTGGATTCATTTTTAAAACTGCCCATGCATGATGCCACCTTTATAAGAGATACTAAGTGAATTTCCTGGCTCAGGCTCCTGGCTGAGCTCCCATTCATGCCCTTGGGCCTTTAATCCATCCTGCATTCCTGTGAGCAGGCTGATATCCTTGTCACACCTCCGTGACCCCTGGGATCCTAAGGCCCTCAGATCTCAAATCACCAGCCTCTTTATGCCAAGTCTCACCAAGCCAGCTGCTTTCACTTCTGCAGCCCCATTAAATTTGTTCCTTGACAAAGAGGACTAAGGAACCCAGGCTCTGGAGTCAGACTGGCTTCCGATCCCAGTTTGACCATATGGATGCTCATGGGCCTCTCTGAGCCACAGTGACCTCATCCATAAGATGAAAATGGAGCCAGCATTGGTGGTGCACACCTGTAATCTCAGCACACTGGGAGGCTGAGTAGCAAATTTGAGCCCCATCTGGGCAATTTAAGAATTTAGCAAGACCGTGTCTCACACACACACACAAAAAAAAATCAAGTAAAGGGCTGGAGTGAAAAGGCCTTGGGTTCAACTCTCAGTACCACAAAAAGAAAAACAAAACAAAACCACAAAAACCCCCAGATCTAGGCCACACACTCTGGGTGTGACTTCTAGTCTAGCACAGGAACTTAGTTTCTGTTAGAACCTCTTAAAGAACAGGTCTTGGTTCTAAATGGAAACATCAGATGAAACTCAATAGGGAGGGGGGGCTGCTTTGACCAAGATCAAAGTCAAGCACCTGCCTGTGGACAGTCAGCCTGCAGGAGACAGCACTTTGTCCAGTGAGGTGAACTTGGGCATCAGAGCTCATTTTCCACAGGCTTCTCCTGCTCCCTCTGGCGCTGAAAGGGACTCAACCCCAAGCCCCCTGGGACAGAGCCTCCTTCACAATCCACTGAGCCCACTTACCTGCTCTTTGCTGAGAACAAAGGTGGTTGTGATTTGGGGCTGCAGGGATAGTGTTCCCACTGCATTGACCACCACGGCAGCTACTGCAAGGTGACCAGGAAGGGAATATTCAGAGCCAAATTATAGATGAGGAAATTCAAACTTAAAACAGGCAAAGGGATTTATTCTCTGGGAATCAGTACTGTGGCTAGAGACAGAAACAGCCAAGGGAAAAGCCTCCTGCAGGCTGCTGTCTACTTCTGCTGCTAACCTGCAGAGTCACTTTAGTTTGACCACTTTCATTTGTTCGTTCAATTAATACTTCAAAAAAATTCTTTCTCTGTGTAAGCACTGTACTAGTTGCTACTCCTTCAATGTCGCTCACCACAGGAGAGCACCACTGAGTCTGGACAAAGCGCTCTCTCCAGCAGGCTGAGGAAGTATTTGACTCGGTCTCAGTCAAAACAGGCCCGCTTTTCCCTATTTTCTTCTCTGGGGGTCTCTTCCTGATGTTTGCATGTAGAAACCAAGACCTGTTTTTAAAGAGGTTCTAATAGAAACCAAGTGCCTGTGCTAGACTAAAAGTCACACCCAGACTGGGTGGCCTAGATCTTGGGTTTTAGCAAGTAAAAATACAGAATGTCCAGTCGATAGGGGATGATGGGATCTTTTCTCCAGAGATCACAGAAATGAGACTGGGCCAAGTATCGCCAGCGCTCACTTCTGCACAGGCAGAGCTTCCTTAGGGGAGCAGGAGGGGCTTCAGCTGAATTGGGACTTTGGCCGAAAGGAGCCATCAATTACTCTACAGAGTAACCAAACTGCTGCTCACAAAACAATCAGAGCATTAGATGTTTATTGACTTGCTCGGGTGGACCAAAGTCCAGTAATCACCACTGCTCAGGGCTATGGTTTCAAAAGATGTTGCTTTTTGTGATGGACTTGGACTAACACATGGCATGTTGAACTCTTTCCAGAGCTGTTGAATTTTCCTGCATCTGGTGCTTTCCCACCCCGGCCTTGTATTTGGTGAGCTCATGAGAGGTTAGCTTCACTCAGGAACTGCTGAGTTATGCTTGCAGCTGGGGTCCTCATCTGCATGTGCACCCTGACCTTACAACAGGGCTGAAGGACTTTCCGTGCTTGAGCTGCTGGGGAAGCACAGGTCGGGTGGAAGAAACACACTGCCAGCTCCAATGGGTGATCGGCCAAACTCTTGGATGGTTCCTTAAGTGATCAACATGTCACAGGCCGAGCAGAGACAGACTCAAGGGTTAAGACTTCAAAGGGGACAGACACAGTATGCAGACAGAGATGTGAGCCTTTGTCCTATTTTAGTCACCCATCAGACACCTATATGCCCAAGGAAGAGTCACTGTTCTCAAGAAAAGTGGCCTTCAAGTCCCTGGGAAGTAACCCAGGTAATGGTTATCCTACCCACAGTCAGAGACGCTATCTATAGCACAGCCAGCACCATGCTGACCATGTGTTACCCAGCAGTGTGACCTCTGAAACTAGTGATTTTAAGTTGACAAGGGGCGAGGGAAGCTAAGGAGCTTATTTAGGGTTTGTTTTGTTTTCTAGATAACAATTTCGCATTTTATGCAAAATGCTGCTTTTGTGGTTTTAGGGCTCTTGGCCTCTTTTGAAACACTCCACTGAAACACTTCACACTATAAAAAGAGTTCACTGCCCCCTAGGGCTTATTTTGTCATCTCAGGCTTCTGTTGCAAGGTGGTGGTCCCTGTCTCATAGTTACTTTGAATTTCAAACAACCAATAGATTTTTTTGAAAGTACATCTCACCCAGTATTGGGATTTACCTATGCTAAAAAATATAGCTGTTGGCTGGGGAACTAGCTCAGTGGATAGAGCGCTTGTCTAACAATCCCCTGGGTTCCATCTCTAGTAAAGAAAAAAAAGAGTATTTGTTATTTATCCAAAATTGAGCTCTTCTGTTTTGCCGAATCAGGGCTGCAACCTGCCCGGCAAATCTTGGGCCTGAGGGCCTCGGGCACCTCCACACAGGCCAGCCTGGGGAGGCGGGACTAGGCTTTTGATTGGACGCGTCTCCCCGCCCTTCTCCAAAGCTGGTCATGATTAGCGGAGGAGGAGGGAGCGCCCGCCTCGGTCCATAGTCCATGTTTGGTCTGTAACATTTCATTCATTTTGTCCTGGATGCACACGTGAGGTGTTCTGGATCAGAGACAGATTTCCTGTTCATTACCTTAAGGTAAGTACTGTAATAAACACACCGCCCCGCCCTCTCCTTCCCCAGGCCCTACTGCTGCCCAAGGAATGCTGTACTGGATGCTCGATAGATGAAGGACAAGGACACTTTCCCTGCTTAGAAAGTGAGAGGAGGTGGCCATCCCCTCCCTTCCTGAATGGTGTCCCTGGACACATGAGCCTGAACCCTGACTCCAGCGCGTGGGAGGGATCTAAATAAAGTCAGGTGCTGGATGCGGGTCCCCGACTGTCTCCTGTTAGCCACTTGGAGGTGCTCAGGGTCCCGGCCTTCCACTTTGCCATGTAAACACCTACCGTGCTGGAGTCTCCAGGGCACCTTGGGGGGTGACCTAGGAACTTTGACCCAGCCGCAGCCTTCTGTCCTTCTCCCAAAGGTAAGAAGGGTTCATGTATTATCCTTTCAGATGAAAGCGATTAACTTGAAAAATGACTACAGAGCTAATTGTCAAGGCAAGTGAAGAATCTAGGAGGATGGGGGCCCCCATCCTTCAGGTTTCCAAATTTCCTAAATCAAAAGTGCTCTGATCCTTAAAGGTTGAAGGGGGAGAGGACTTGAAGTGTTTCCAGACAGGTCCAGAGCAATAATTCAGGTAATGCTGAAAGCTTCCATGTATATGTCTAAAATAACTAATGAGTTTTAAAATCAGATTGACTGCAGGCTGCGCATAAACTCAAGGGTCCAGCGCTTGCCTAGCATGTGTGAGGCCCTGGTTCAATCACCAGTATGGAAAATAAAAGCAAACAAACAAACAAACAAAAACCCCATAAAATCAGATTGTTCTCAGTTCAATGGATGATAATAGACCGGCTAGTGACGGCTTTTGGCAAATTAGTCATAAGCAGCATCCACCAAGAGAGAAAATTACCAGGAAGAATCATGAGGAAGATTCTGCCAGAGAATAAAACTTTGCATTCTCTCAGAATCAAAATTGACTTAAATGGATAAAACTGAGGATGGAGGTAGATGGACCCTCTGTTTCTAATCTCCTTGGGAACATCACACAATGACTATAGAGAAGAAAAGAAAATAATTTTTTCAGTACTGAGGATAGAACCTAGGGAGCACTGAACTATGTCCCCAACTCTTTTTGTTTTTGTATCTTTTATTTTGAAACAGGGTTTCACTAAGCTGCCTAGACTGACCTCGAATGTGACCCTCTTGCCTCAGCCTCCTTGGTAGTTGGGATAATAGGTGTGCACCGCCATGCTGATCAAGAAGAAATTTTTAAAGGCTAGGAAAGATTAGAAACTTTGCATGATTTAGATATGAAACATCTGTTGCAATCTGAAGTAATACTTGGAGACATGAGTAATGCCTCTGAAAACAATAAACTGAAACAACGAATAATGCTGTTGAGTCACAGAATTTCTCAGACTTGCTTAGAAGGGAATCATAGGGCACCTACCCAATTCTAATAAGCAAGGATCTAAAAATATACATGGTGGTGGACGTGCTGGAGCATGCCTGTAATCCCAGCACTGCTGTAGGCTGAGACAGGAGGATAGCAAGTTTGAGCCCAGTGTGGGCAATTTAGTGACTTTGTGAGACCCTATTCCAAAATAAAGCACGCAAAAAGGGCTGGGGCTATAGCTCAGTGTGAAGGCCTTGGGTTCAAGACCCAGTAGTGCAAAAAAAAAAAAAAATATATATATATAGAGAGAGAGAGAGAGAGAGAGAGAGAGAGAGAGAGAGATGAGATTGCTAATATGCAAACAGGAATATTTCTCTTATTACTCTGTCAGTAGCTCAGTTATGCTGGCTGAGGATCCAGAGTTGTTTTACTTAGTCATTTTTTGTTGATGTTTTTAGAATACTTAGCAGAAGATCCCCTATAGGATTATTAGAGACACCTTTTCTTTTGGAAACAGAGTCTTGCTTTGTAGTTCAAGCTGGCCTTGAACTCACAGCGACCCACCTGCCTCAGCCTCCTGAGTGCTGGGACACCTGGCTTGCATTTTTTTAATGTTTTAATTCAACATAAACTTTGGTCTCTACTGAGTGCTTGCTTAAATGTCATTAATGTTCCATGCATTAGTAAGCTGTACATCTGTGGTATCTTTGGTGAACTTTTGTATCTTGCACTCAGGTGAATGTTTTATTACTTACATTTCTCAATGAAATGCCACTGGAATGTTTGTGGATGGTGTCCCCGGGGCCCTCTCATTTTATTGTTTTTTTGTCTGTTTTGTGGTGCTGGGGATGGAACCCAGGGCCTCAAGCTTACTAAGCACACAGTCTACCACTGACCTACATGCCCAACCATTTTTATTTTATTTTTTCAGACAGGGTCTTGCTGTGTTACCCAGGCTGAACACAAATCTGTGAACCTCCTACTTCAGCCTTTGAAGTTGCAAGCATATGCCACCACATATGGCCAAATTTAATTTTTATCCATTCTTTGACCAAAGCAAAAATTTCTCATTTAAGAACTTTTTTTAAAACCTCAAACAATGCTATTATTGCAAGGCTTTATCTTCAGGAAGAATCTAGAAAAAATAATGTTTCTATTGATCTATATATTGATTTAAATGGTTAAATAGCTGTGTAGCTGACAGGAGTGAAAAATAGGGGGAAAAACCATGCATATGAAATGAAGCACATCATTTGAACAAAAGAAATGATTTCTAGTGAATTAATAATTCAATAATCTACTTCAGTGTAGCTCCCCTTATTTTTAACAAAATCCAAAATGAAATACCAGGGCCATGTGGGAGAGTCACAAAGCTCATCAAACAGAAGGGCCTGGGCAACTGGGATGAGAAGTGACAATTTCCAGGCTGAGCCTTTGTTGGCGTGACATCCGCTCACAGAGGTGGCAGCTCCATTAATCAAGGGACACTGAGATCAGCAGGGGGAAGGACAAGCCCAAGCGGTGGAGCATTCATTACAGGGAAAATAATTATTATGGAGAGCTCTACGCAGAGCACACTTATCAACGCCAAAAGAGGTGATGGCTGTGACATCCAGGGACAGATGGAATTTCCAAATGGAATTGCAGGACCAAGTGGGGAGTTTGGAGAATAAGACCACATTTACATTTCAATGGAGATGACTGTAGAAGGTAATTTTTCATGTGAACCTAATATATTTTAAAACAGGAGTCCTGAGGTTCTTGGCAGGTGTTTTCCTGTCTGGGCTTTATTATGAAGCTGATGATTTCAAAATTAGCTAAAAGACCTTCTCATAAAGGGCTTGGGTAACCTATTTATGCATTGTTAAAATTTAAATTTTTAATATTTTAAAGGGTTTTTTTTCCCAGTACTAGGGATTGAACGTACTACCTTCATTCACACTGAGCTACATCCTAGACCCTACCACATTTTTTTTTTGAGGCAAATTCTTACTAAATTGCCCAGACTGGGCTCAGACTTGAAATCCTACTGTCTCAGCCTCCCAGAGTATTGGGATTACTGGTGGCTGGTACCATACTTGGCTATTTGTTGAAAGTTTGTTCTCAACTCTGTATGTTTGAAATGCTTTTTGAATTTGTCAAATAAAATTGAACTGATACAGTGGAACATATTGTCCTTTCTATAGCTGTATTAACCATGAAAGTCTCCCAGCTACTGTAGGATGGGATGCTTACAGGGTGAGGCATAGATTGAATGGCAGGGAAAATAGAAAAATCAGGCACAGGCCTGCCCTGAGTCCATCCTGAGAACTTCCTGCATTTTTTTATGTGTTGTTAGTGTCTGGGACACTGGTACTCAGCGAGTCATTGTTCCTCCAGGGCTGCCTCCAAAGCTACCCTCGGATTCCAACTCTGGCATAGAAATGCTGACTTGTTTTTCCCTTCTGCAGTTTCTTCCTCTTTCAAGCAGTTGTGGGGTATGGATTTGCCAACAGAGAAGCCATCTGGCAGTGACAGGTACCGACAGCCCCTGCTTTCCGGTTGCTTCTCTACACATGTTTTTGTCACTACAAGGACCCTTATCTTTGGTTTGGAAAATGTGGCACCGAAGTGAAATGGTCTAGTTTCAACATTATGCTGTATGTTTCTGGGGTCACAGAACGGTAATTACTGTACGAGTGAAGTATCACCAAGATCCTATCAGACCCCTACAAGGTAGGATGTGTGAGAACAGATGTATAAGGTAATATGCAGGCCAGTGGACATTTTTAATACTTGCAAATGTAATTATGTGCTACAGCGGAATCTCGAGTTACAGGTGGTTTAAATGTAGGACAGACAGGTCTTGCTCCCCACTCAAGGATGACTCCTAGTCTAAATATCTATAAAGTACTTATCTTTTCAAATGTCTGCATCAGCCAGGTATGATGGTGCAGGCCTGTGATCCCAGCATTCTGAGAGGCTGAAGCAAGAGGATCACAAGTGTGAACCCAGCCTGGGCAATTTGGTCACTTAGCAAGACCTTGTCTCGGCAATTACAAAATAAAAAGGGCTGGGATGTAGCCCAGTATGATGGCCCTGGGTACAATCCCCAGTACAGGAAAAAGTCTGCTTTGTCCATAAAGGGTCTTGGCACATAGGCCTGCTATGATCTCATAGCAGAGTCTCTATGGAGTCCCCCTTCAGTAAATGGTCAATTTTTGTTTGTTTTGTTTTTTGAGACAAGGTCTCCCTATGTGGTAAAGGCTGGCCTTGAACTCATGGTGATCCTCCTGCCTCAGCCTCCTGGGTGCTGAGGTCACAGGTGTATGCCACCACACCTAGGTGCAGTAAAGGGTCAGTTTTTGTTTTCTTTTGTTTTGTTTTTCATTTAAATGGTCAAATTTTTAAACTTTTTGGGGGGCTCAGTTGGTTATTTGAGTCTTGTTTTGGCAACTAGAGAGTAGAACACAAACATAGGTTAATAAAAATTTTAGGTCAAATATTTTAGGTTGGAGCTGGGCATGGTTGCGCATGCTTGTAATGCCAGCACTCAGTAGGCTGAGGCAGGAGGATTGCTGCAAATTCAATGACAGCCTGGGCTACATAGTAAGTTCAAGACCAGCCTGCACTACATAGCAAGACCTTATCTCAAAAAACTAAAATAAAAAACTTATGTTGGTAACTTGCAATGAAATTTACACATGATCATTGGGTAGACACTAGAGAGTGTTTGTTGTTTGCTTCTCTCAGACTCATCTTTAATCTTTTCTAGAGTGTGAATTGGTCATATGTGGGTTTCTGAGGTTTCTTATTACATGCGGTGACAGCAAAGAAACTTGAAAATACATATGTACTCTTGATTACTTAATTTGTAGTTTTACTGAGTCATTAGATTCCAGTGACATGGGTTTCTTCAAAAGCATTTTTCCTGGGCTGAGGACGTAGCCCTGGGTTCAATCTCCAGCACTGAAAAAAAAAAAAAAAACCAAAACAGTAAATTTCCCCAGGAAAATATTTAATTAAAGTAAATTGATTTAAAGAAGAAGTCCACAGGAATTGTTTTGGTACCCAGGATCTTAACACTGAACTACATTCCCAGCCCTTTTGATTTTGAGCCAGGGTCTCTACATTAACCAGTCTGGCCTCAAACTTGAGATCCTCCTGTTTCAGTCTCTTGAGTAGCTGGGATTAGCAGTGCGCACCACTGCACCTAGCCTCTGTTTTAGGCCTCCCCATTGTGTGCCTCATACATGTTCTCAGCTTAATTCCTTATTCTCTTACAAGGAGAAAATTAGGCTTCTTTGTTTAACTTCCTATTTGCAGGTTTGGACGGCTTTCTTTCCAGCGCACGATGGAGCTGGGTCTCCTTCCGCCTTCCTTCCGCCGCTTCCTCTCCTTTCTCCTCGCTGTTGTGTGCTGCTGACCACTAGGTGGTGCTGCTGATCGCTAGATAGTCTCGGGTTATCGCTGCCGGAGACTCGAGGAGAGTTGTCCTGGAGCTCAGGGACCAGAAGACAGGTTCCAACAGAGAGGAGGATGTAGAAGCTCACCTTCTCTGTGGAAATATAGAAATGACAGGGGAAAAGTCACACCCTAAATCAAAGATGCTTAATGGAGGTGATTATAGCATACTCTGGTCAATGAGAGGATTTTGTAATCAGCTCCATCACTTTGTGTTGTAGTTGTTATTCTGGGTATGGAATCCCAGGGCCTCCCACATGCTAGGCAAACGCTGTACCACTGAGCTACATCCCAGCCTTTGTATCAAGAATGGATTTATAGCCAGCATTGGAAATGCACACCTGTAATCCCAGCATTAGGGAGACTGAAGCAGGAAGAAGCCTGGGCTACAATAGTGAGTTCAAGTCCAGCCCTGAACTATATAGTGAGACACTGTCTCTCCCTAAAAAAAACTCCAAACAAACAAATACAGAAATGTATTTATTTATCTGTTTATTTGTTTTGTGAGACAGGTCCAAGCTGGCCTTGGACTTGAGCTCCTCCTGCCTCAGCCTCCGAGCTGTTACAGGAGTTTAGAGAGAAGACATCTATGCGGTTACCTTGGAGGCCAAAGGACACAGAGGTTCTCACAGGCTGAGGAGAGGGAGGAAGAGCGTTCCAGGCCGACAGGATTGTGAGGAGGCCGGGGCCAGTGGTGAGCATGCAGGAGAGCAGTGATGTGGCCAAGACCAAAGGGCAAGGGCTGTGCCTGGGGAGGAGGGGGCTGGGCCAGGCTTCCTGGAGGTGCTCTGCTCAGGTATCTGCACTTTACCCCGAAGGCTGAGGGCGGCCCAGGAAGGAGGATGGCTCAGTGGAGAGCCTGGACAGAATGGCTTTTCGGAAAGACGAGCCCGGCAGCCACATGGGACAAGGACACATCCAGACTGGAGGCTGGAGTCCCAGTACAGAGCGAGGTGACCTGGGGTGGGCATGTGTGGTGGAGGGGGAAGGCATCCTGGGGAGGGAGTTCTGGAGCAGAACTGACAGGCAGCTGTGAGGAGCAGTGGTGAGGTTGTAGCTAGGTCCTTAGAGACCTGCTAGAACTCTGGTGCTTGAGGTTCTGGGTTCAACCCCCAGTGCCCCCAACTGTCCCCCCAAAGAGGGGCCTCTATCTGTTTGAAGCTCATGAAAAATTGCTTTTTTATTTGTTCAGATTTCCAGTTTGGAGTTTTCTGTAAGAGAGAGTGATGGCCCTATCTCTTGAGGGTGTTTGTCTCTCCTGCAGGAGCCTCCCTGGCTGGGCAGCCAGGCTGGGCTCTCTGGCCATGCTCAGGGCTCCCCAGGCCTCGACATGATGGGATCTCGGGTCTCGTGGGATGATCTGTTGGGGCCTCTGCAGTGCAGGCCAGGGGCTGCACTTCAGTATTCACACACAAATTAAATAAGCACTTCATTTAGCTAGGGATGGTAGGCCTTTACATTTAAAAATACATATTTATCAATCTATTTATTTATTTACATATTGGGGATTGAACCCAGGGCCTTTGCACTGAGCTACATCCTCCCCTTTTTATTTTTTATTTTGAGACAGGTCTCACTAAAGTTGCTAAGTTGTTCAGGCTGGGCTCAAACTTTCCATCCTCCTGCCTCAACCTCCCAGACTGGGATCATGGACATCACCATCACACCCGGCTCTGAGGTGGTGACTCCAAAGCCAAGACTGGAATGAAGGGAAGGAGCTGCCATCTAAGGGACAACCCTGGATCTCCCAGTAGGGCAGGACCCGCCCCACAGAGGCTGCTCCCAGAGCCCTGCTCCAGCTCCCATGGCAACACACAGCTCGCTGACTCTCCACTCCTGAGCTCATCTTGTCTGTAGGGAAAATTCTTTGTCACAGGGCACCTGTCCCCTGGCCCTCAGCCTGAGGTTCCTAGTGGGTCCTGAGTGGCCCCTGGGACCTGGGCCTGCAGGGTCTCCCTGGGTGCTTCTGGGCCAGCTCGGTGCCTGGGGGCTGAGAGCGAGGGGGGATCTGGGTTTGCTCGGTGGTTAGGGCAGAGGGAAGGGCACTGGCCGAAGACTGAGAGGGTGATAAGAGAACAGCTGCTTCATCCCATCCGTGTGGCCAGCTTGACTTTCTGAACTTTCCTCCACCCTCTTAGAATTTCCTCGAAAGAACTAAGGCTGTGTCTACTTTTTATTTTTGTGGGTAATGTGTTTTGGAATGAAACCAACAGTTTCGCTTTCAGTTAGTGACACAGTGGCACTGCCATTGTGACCGTGGCGTTACCTTGTGGCACAGGACGAGGACTGTGTGAGGGAAAGTTTCCAAGGCCAATGTAGACATCATCGTAGTGGTGGGGTGAGGGCAGCTCTGCAGGAGTGGGTTAGGGCCCTGCTGGGCCTTTGTGAAAACTTAGCAGAAACAACTATCATTAGCCTTTTTTTTTTCTGTTTTTCTTTTTTTGGCTTTTTGAGACAAGGTCTTGCTATGTAGCTCAGGTTAGCCTCAAACTCATGGTGATCCTCCTACCTCAGCCTCCCGAGTGCCAGGATTGCAGGCATACCCCACACCTGGCAAGTGTTTCTTTTTTTGGTACCAGGGATCGAACTCTGGTCCTTGCGCTTGCGCAGCAGGCAGGGAAACCACTGAGCTAAATCCCTGGCCCCTGGCAAGTGTTTCTTTTGATTCTTGTTGCTTTGGGGAAACAGGGATGGGATGGAACCTGTGGACTTACACGTGTGCTAGGCAAGCGCCGCCCCTGAGCTGCAGCTGCTGCCCTCTCCCTTCTTCCCTGATCCACGGCCATGCGAGCCTCAGCAACTCCAGCAAAGTACTCTGAGGCAGGAAGGCGAGCAACTAAGCCTTCTCTTAAATTTGGAAACGCAACCAGGAAAAAAACGTTCAAGCAGAGAATATAGATTAGTCAAGGCTCTATTTTTGGCATGTGGAAGACAGTTGTTAGTGTGGACTGTTCTGGAAGGGTTTGGTTGGCTGGGGCTGGGCTGAGTACTATCTTTCATGCCCCAAAGACTGTTAGGTCTGAGCCCGGCTGTAGCTTTAAGAAATCTAACTCCAACTTCTCCAGAATAGAAATCGCTCAAGTATTTTTTTTGAAATAAGGAAGTAGATGTGGTCCTATATCGCCCGGCTGGTTCTATATATTGAGACAAGAGTGTGAAGTATTGTTTTACCTTCTCTTCTCATAAAGCTAAAGAATAAGCCATAGAGTATATTGCTATGCATTTGTCTTGATGTACACGGAAGCAAATTTGAGAATTCACCTATGTGTTTTCATTTAAATTTGGTGGAGGGGGGTGGTGCGAGGTTTAGATGGATGTGAATGGCACACACTTGTCTTCCCAGCACTTGGGAGGCCGAGGCAGGGGGATCCTGCAAGTTCTAGGCCAGCCTGGGCTGCATAGTGAGTTCAAGGCCAGCCTGGACTACGTAGGGAGACCCAGTCTTAAAAAAAAAGGGCCAAGGATTTAGCTCAGTGGTTTCACTGCCTGCTGCGCAAGCGCAAGGACCAGAGTTCGATCCCCGGTACCAAAAAAAAAAGCCGAGCCTGGCACAGTGGTACACCCCTGTAATCCCAGCACTCAAGGAGGTTGAGGCAGGTAGTTCACAAGTTAGAGCCCAGTCTGGGCCATTTAGCTACTTAGTGCACTGAGGCTGGGGTCTCAAAACGGGGAGGTGGGGGAGGCTGGGATGTAGCTCAGGGCGAAGACTCTAGTTTCAATCCCCAGTACTTAAAAAATCATACATGTGGGCCGGGGATTTAGCTCAGTGGTTTCGTCGCCTGCTGCGCAAGCGCAAGGACCAGAGTTCGATCTCCGGTACCAAAAAGTAATAATAATAATAATAATAATACATGTGAATTCATGAGCTAAAGAAAGTAAGTGATCCTTAATTATATACCTGGACCAGAACACCAGCAAGAGACAACACAGGCTGTCTTGATGTGCGCTTTGATTGCCTATGGACCCATTCTGGAAGTGTGACAGGAAGGAGAAAATAAAGACAAACAAAAAGCAAAAATAAAACAAGCCTAGAACTGGCTTCAGCTGTTTCTGTGTTCCAGGGAGGGGAAGGCCTCATCTGGGACAAACTGTGACTTCCTGCTGGGCCTTTGAGGCTCACTCACGTCAGGAGGTTTGATGAAAGGAGATTGTCTGGGTCCTGGGAGACTTGGAAAGTTGGAAGTGGAAGCAGGAGAAGCAGAGAAGACCAAATTGAAGTCTGGGATTGGAGGAGGCTCGGAGCTGGCTTTGCCAAGGAGGGAGAAGCCTGTGTGCTAGGTGTGGAGATCACTGACCTGCAGGTTCACTTTCTCCTGGGGAGGCTGGAGGAATCTTCCGAGTGTGTGCTTCCCTCCTGGAGCGCTCCAGAAAGACACCAGCACACGGAGAGATGGCAGTGAGCTGAGTCCGTGATCCGTGCTCCAAAGTGGGCAGCACTGCTGATACCAACCTGTCAGGTTCAGGGGTACCCGGGTGATGCTGGGTATATGGAGAGTTCAGAGGTAAGTGCTCCCTGGTCTATTTTCTGAGCATGTGAAGAACTGATGTTGTATCTTTTTTTTTTTTTTTTTGGTACCAGGGATCGAACTCGGGCCCTTGCACTTGTGTAGCAGGCGGCGAAACCACTGAGCTAAATCCCCGGCCCCTATCTTTTTTTTTTTTTTTTGAGACAGGGTCTCCCTGTGTAGTTCAGGCTGGCCTTAGACTAAGTATGCAGCCCGATGTTGTGGGTTGTGTCTACAAGTTCCTCCAAAGCCTTGTGCATTCATAGGTGAGGCTTTTTGGAGGTGGCTGGATCTAGAGTGTGTGATGCTGGGATCAAGGGTGTGTGGTACTAAATTAGCCCACTGATTGGTTTGGCATAGTTCTAGGTAGGAGGAAGGGTCCCCCACCCCTGGTGTGAGCGCTACCCACTCTAAGGGTAAGGATGTAATATAAGGGACAGAAAGAGGGCCATTGCTTGTCACTTGCTGCTGCTTCACTGCTTCACTGCTTTGCTGCCCGCCATGAACTGTTTCTCCTCTGTGAGATCTCTCTGCCATGGCCCTCTGCCTTGAAGGCAGCCAAACCTCTACAAACTGTGAGCCAAATAAACCTTTCCTCCTTTAACTTTGGGTGTTGGGTATTTTGTCTCATAATGAGAAAAGTAACTAAGACACTTAGGCTGGCCTCAAACTCATGGCGATCCTCCTGTCTCAGCCTTCTGAGTGCTTGGGATGATAGGCCTGTGCCACCGTCCCCAGTTGTGATTCGTAGATTATGTAGGTGAGTTACTTTTTCCTATACTCCCACCCTTTTAAATTATTTTTTATTTTGAGACAGGGTTTTTCCAGTCACTGAATGACTAGGCTCAGGGCTCAAACTTTGATCCTCCTGCCTCAGCCTCCCAGAGGGCCAGGTTTACAGAAATGCAGCACCATGCCTGGTTTAAAAGTGTATTTTTAAATTTCTGAGTACTTTAAGGTTTTCCCTTGATTTCTAATTTAATTCCTTTACAGCCAGATAAAAAATTTTTACGATTTAAATTCTTTTAAATTTGTTAAGATTTGTTTTATGACCTAGAATATGGCTTGAGTTGAACATTCTATGTGCACTTGAAAATAATACTCATTCTGTTTTATTGGGTGATTACATAAATGTTGACATGATCCAGTTGGTTGATATGTTGTTTACTCCTACCTTTATGGTGATTTTCTGCCTCTTTATTATACTAATTACTGAGAGGTACACCAAAGTCTCCAACTGTAGTTATAGATTTTTCCATTTCTTCTTTTACTTCTATCAGTTTTTGCTGTATTTGTTGCTATTGTTTTGTTTTTTGTTTGCTTGTTTTTGTTTTGTTTTGAGACAGAGCCTCACTTTATAGTTCAAGCTGGCCTTGAATTCACTATGTAGCTCAAGCTGGCCTTAAACTTGGAGTGATCCTCCTGCCTCAGCCTCCTGAGTGCTGGGACTACAGGTAGGTGCCACTACAACTAGCTGTTTTTGTTTAGTTTTGTTTTTTGGGACAGGATCTTGGTACGTAGTTCAGGATAACCCCAAACTCACTGTAATCCTCCTGCCTTAGTCCCCTGAGTGCTGGGATTTCACTCCTTGTTTGCTGTGTATATTTGAAGCTTTGTTGTTATGTGCATAATATTTAGGAGTATTAATATTGGTAAATTTACCCTTTTACCATTAGGTAATGTCCCTCTTTATTCCTGGTAATTTGTCTTGTTCTGAAATTTTAATTTTATGGTGGTTCTGGGGATGGAACCCAGGGCTTCACACATACTAGGCAAGTGCTGTATGACTGAGCTATATACCCAGCCCTGAAATTTATTTTATTTTTATCTTATAGCCACTTCAGCTTTTGATTGCATAGTGTATATTTTTATATGCTTTTTTTAGAGACAAGGTTTTGCTATGTAGTCCAGGTAGATCTTTGTGCTTTCAACATACGTATATTGTTAAATATAAAGTTTGTCTTTACAACGTGTAGGTGAATCTGTTTTTAAAAATTCCAGTTTAGCCAGGTGTGGTGGTGTACCTGTAACACTAGCACTCAGGAGGTGAGGCAGGAGGATTGCTGTGAGTTCAAGGCCAGCCTGAACTACATAGCAAGACCTTGTCTCAAAAAACAAAAACAAAAGCAAACAAAAGATTCCAGCTTAACAACTTTTGTGCTTTTAATTGGTGTGTAGATTATTTACATTTAATATAATTGTTAATGTTTGAATTTAGGTTCACCATTGTACTGCTGTTTCCCCCTCTCTGTTTTTCTTGTTTCTTTTGGTACTGGGAATGGAACTCAGGTCCTTGCACTTGCGCAGCAGGCAGCAAAAGCACTGACCTAAATCCCCACCCCTCTCTGTTTTTCTCTATTTGCCCTTTCTGGATGTTATGGCTTGGGTCTGGATATCCCCCCAAAGCCTCATTTGGTCAGAGGTGGCTGAATCTAGAATGTGTGATGCTGGGATTAAAAGAGAGTGATTACTAAACCACTACACATGAGTGATTGGTTTGGCACTGCAGTAATCCTGGTAGTCTGGAGGGGATAAAAGAGGCAGAAAGACATGCTGAAGCTCTCTTGTTGCCTTTGCCACCTTGTGAGTGCCATGTTGTTTCTTCTCTGTGATGTCTGTTTGTCATCCCTGACTTGGAGCCAGCTGACTATGGACTAAAACCTCCATGAAATGTAAGCTAAATCAACCCCTTCCGCTCGGACTTCGGCTTTTGGGTATTTTGTCTCAGCAACGAGAGAAAAGTAACTAACACATTCTCTCTTTTAGATTGCTTGAATTTTTTCAGTAGGCTATTGTAACTTATCTATTGAGATTGGATTCTTTGTATAATTTTCTAATTATAATAGGAATAAGAAGCTGTGGTATAGCCACACCTGTAATCCCAGTTACTGGGGAGGCTGAGGCAGGAGGACCCCAATTTTGAGGCTAGCATGGACTACCTTAGAACCCTGTCTCAAAAAAACCACCACCAACAAGAAAAGCTCAGGTGCTCCCATACAGTAGGGTGACTATAGATTATGGTAACCTAGTGCAATTTCACAAAGCTAGATGAAAGGATTCTGCATGTTTTCATTATAACAAAGTGATCAGTGTTTGAGGAGATAGATGCATCTAACCTGATTTAAGTGCTGTTTACTGTATTCATGTATCAAAACATGGTGTGGACTCCTGTAATCCAGCCACTTGGGAAGCTGAGGCAGGAGATTGGAAAATTCAAGTCCACCTGGGCAGTTTAGTGTGACCCTGTCTCATAAAAAAGGATTGGGGCTACTGAAAAGGCCTTCAGAATGGATGGAAAAGTTCATTCTTTAAGGAATCAGATAATCTGGAACAGGCAGGTGTTTTCAATGGGTTTTACTCAGACTTCAGCCATTAAGGAACAGTATCAGTGAAGGAGAAAAAATAGTTTATCTTTCTCTTTAACAAGGTCCCTCCTTCTTTTTTTGAGATAGGATCTCACTATGTAGCCCAGGCTGGCCTCAAGTTCACATCAATCCTCCTGTCTCAGCCTCCTAAGTGCTAGGATTACAGGCGTGCACCACGCTAAAGTTTTCCCCTTTAAGATATTCCCCACTACAACAGAGTGAAGTCTGTAGTCCTTTAGTCTTACAGCCCTGCTGTGAAGAATAGTAAACACTCATTCTCAGCACCTCACCGCTCATCTTCTATTCTAGAAGCAGTGACTTGACATTTTTTATTATTGAGACAGGGTCTTGCTATGTAGTCCAGGCCAACCTTGAACTCACTGTAGCCCAGGCTGGTCTCAAACTCCCAACCCTCCTGCCTCAGCCTCTCCAGTGCTGGGATTACAGGTGAATTTGTGTTCTCCTTGTCTCTGAAGACAAAGGGCATTAATTCTAGTTTAAAAACTGCTGACTCTTGCCAGAGCAGTACCACATGCACACAC